GTGGAACAGAGCATTTTGACGACTTAAACCTCACAAAAGTCCATTTCAGTATCACAAAAAACGATAAATTCTGAAGAGTCCGTTTAAAAATATTTCACACAGATTTACAGAACTGGACTTAAATAAAAACGGATTTTGAGAATTTTGCAGAGACGATATTTGTATTTCCTCAAAACCTACAGACGGAAAAAACAAGAAGCAGTCAATTAATCTGTCAGTGTTGACCTGGTTTAGTCCTGGTTTAGTCCTGGTTTAGACTTGTTTAGACTTGGTTTAGTCCAAGTTTAGTCCTAGTTCAGACCTAGATTAGTCCTTGTTTATACTTGTTTTAGTGCTGGTTTAGTCCTGGTTTATATACTTGTTTTAGTGCTGGTTTAGTCCTGGTTTAGTCCTGGTTTAGACTTGTTTTAGTCCTGGTTTAGTCCGAGTTTAGTTCTAGTTTAGACCTGGTTTAATCCTGGTTTATTTCTGGTTTTAGTCCTAGTTTAGTCCTGGTTTAATTCTAATTTAGTCCTGGTTTAGTCCTTGTTTATTCCTTGTTTAGTCCTGCTTTAGTCCTGGTTCAGTCCTGGTTTAGTCCTTGTTTAGTCCTGCTTTAGTCCTGGTTTAGTCCCGGTTTAGTCCTGGTTTAATCTTGGTTTAGTCTTGGTTTAGGTCTAGTTTAGTCCTAGTTTAGTTCTGGTTTAGTTCTAGTTTAGTACCGGTTTAGTCTTGGTTTAGTCCTAGTTTAAACCTGATTTAGTCCTAGTTTAGTCCTGGATTAGTGCTGGTTTAGACCTGGTTTACTTCTAGTTTAGTCCTGCTTTAGTCCTGGTTTAGTCCTGGTTTAGTTCTACTTTAATCCTGGTTTAGTCCTGTTTTAGTCCATTCCAGATTCCTTCCTTATTTACTCCTGGTTAGTTAAAGGGTCCAGATAAACCAGGACTAAACCAGGACTAAATCAGGACTAAAAAATAAAAACTGTATGTATGCACTGTGTAACTTTTCGTTTGATGGTCCGTCACCTTCTGTTTCCATGGATACGTCATTCCTCTGCCTGAAATGTTCCACAGTGGGACTTTAAACAGCTCTACTCTACGTTTATTCAATCACAGGTGGATTTACAGCTCAAAAACACCTAGAAACACCCTCGCCTCTGCACAGATCTGACCTGTAACTCGGTCTGGTTCGGCCTCCGTGAAGATATGAAGGTTTAAAGCCACACTGCGGAACATTCCAGACAAAGCAACAACACAATGCACCTTTAAACGTAATAATGTCGTAGTAGATTAGTCACAGTGAAATCAAAATCACCGCTCGATTCTGAACGGACACAATTAAATCACAAAATCGCCATTTTTTTAAGCACTATCATTTTGGGATTTAACGATATCCGCATTTTTCGATACGATATTTAGTCCGATATTGTGTGAAAGCGAACAAAAGTGTGAATATACTACTTTTTCCAGCCTTGACAAGCCTTTGGTTCTGTCCTAAACCAAAGAGTTAAGATTTAAAAGTGCTTCATAAGTGATTTCATTGTGTAAATTGAGCTGAAAAGGAGCAAAGGATCATGGTCTATGTAGTTCTTTGCTGTTCTTGTCGCTTTTGCTTTCCTCCACAAGCAACAAAATCTCTCCCGTATAAGTTTTTCAGTTCAGATTTCAGTCTTTTCGTCAGTTGTTCTGTACATGTTTAAAATAAATGTGACGTTTGAACAGAATCTTATTATTAAATTTGAAAATTGAAAATCTAAACACAATCGTAAAGTCGGAAAAAAATGAAAAAAATTTGCTTATTACACAAAATGGATTCCCTCGTTCCGCCTCAAAAACAGACCTGGAGTTGTGTTTTGTTCATTCGCACGCGTTTTAGTAACTCTTTATTATTAGTCTGTCCACATCTCCAAATCTCAAAATGCTCAGTTCCACCTTGTGATGTCATGAAGTGGTAGTTTTCAAGTTTTCAGATCAATATTTCATTTAGTTCAGTAAAAATTGACAATTCCAGGTCTGATTTTTTTTTTTTTTTTTTCGTTTTCTAGATTCTAGTGAAGGTGCGCGGAGTTTAAAAACACAGTGGAGCACTTCCTGTGTTACCACATGATGACATCACAAGGTGGAGCAGAGTGTTTTCTGCAGGCAACAACAACAACAACAACACAACTCCAGCTCTGTTGATGAGGAAATGACACTATCAACTAGATTATCAACTTGTACTTCCCTTCGCTGTTGCACTGCAGAAGTAGTAGTAGTAGTAGTAGTAGTAGTAGTAACATCTGTAGTAGTAATAGCAGTAGTAGCAGTAGCAGTAGTAGTAGTAGTAGTAGTAGTAGCAGCAGCAGTAGTTGTACTTTTTTGAGTGTGACAAACGTCTGTGAGGGAGAGATAAACAACTGGCCCTGATAAGACAAACACTGTTTTGTGTGTAACCTGGGACAGTCCTGGTTTAGTCCTGGTTTAGTCCTGGTTTAGTCCTGGTTTAGTCCTGGTTTAGTCCTGGTTTAGTCCTGGTTCAATTCTGGTTTAGACTTGGTTTTAGTCTTGGTTAAGTCCTGGTTTACTTTTGGTTTTCCACAACTTGTTTTTCCTTTCCATTATTCAATCTGTAACTTAGGACAGCCCTTATTTAGTCATGGTTTAGTCTTAGTTTAGACCTGGTTTAGACCTGGTTTAGACCTGGTTTAGACCTGGTTTAGACCTGGTTTGGTCCCTGTTCAGACTCTCTATTCCTGGTTCGCTAGAAACAGAATGATGAACAATTGTGAACAGTGCCAATAATGAAAATTTAAAACAATTGTTACATATTTTGAATTGAGTCTGGTTTAGTCCTGGTTTAGTCCTGGTTTAGTCCTGGTTTAGTCCTGGACAGGTCTATCCCAGGTCTTATATGTAGCCTATAGGTTTGTGAGGGAGAGATAAAGGACTGGCCCTGATAAGACCAACGCAGAGGCACAACACGCAACGAGAACAACAGGTCCTCCAGAGCCTCCAGGACCAAGACCAGATCTGGAGAAGTTCTGGTTTAGTCTTGGTTTAGTCCCTGCTCCGTTTCCCTCGTTATTTAGTCCTGGTTAAAGGGTCCAGCTAGACCAGTTCTCAACCAGGACTTAAAAACTCCAAAGTAAATGTCATTTGTTTTGCTGCTCCTGGTCCTGGTTTAGTCCTGGTTTAGTCCTGCTTTAGTCTTGGTGTAGTTTTAGTCCTGGTTTAGTCCTGGTGTAGTCCTGCTTTAGTCCTGGTGTAGTCCTAGTTTAGTCCTGGTTTAGTCCTGGTTTAGTCCTGGTAGTTTAGTCCTAGTCTTTTTAGTCCTGGTTTAGTCCTGTTTAGTCTGGTAGTCCTAGTCCTGGTTTAGTCCTGTTAGTCCTGGTCCTGTAGTCATGTTAGCCTGTAGTGTCCTAGTCCTAGTCTGTTTAGTCCTGGTTTAGTCCTAGTATAGTCCTGCTTTAGTCCTGCTCTGGCCCTGGTCTGGTCTGGCCCATGTTACATGTAGCCTATGTCTTTAGTTCTGCTTTAGCCCTGGTATAATTTTGATTTAGTCCTGGCTTAGTCCCGCTTTGGCCCTGTCTTAGTTCTCTTTTATTCCTGGTTTATTCCTGTTTTAGTCCTGTCTTAGTACTGGTTTAGTCCTGGTTTAGTCCTGCTCTGGCCCTGATCTGGTCTGGCCCATGTTACATGTAGCCTATAGGTTTAGTCTTGTTTTATTCCTGATTTATTCCTGTTTTATTCCTGATTTTAGTCCTGTTTTAGTCCTGGTATAGTCCTGTTTTAGTCCTGCTTTAGACCTGTTTTAGTCCTGGTATAGTCCTGTTTTAGTCCTGCTTTAGACCTGTTTTAGTCCTGGTTTAGTCCTGGTATAGTCCTGTTTTAGTCCTGCTTTAGACCTGTTTTAGTCCTGGTTTAGTCCTGGTTTAGTCCTGGTATAGTCCTGTTTTAGTCCTGCTTTAGACCTGTTTTAGTCCTGGTATAGTCCTGTTTTAGTCCTGCTTTAGTCCTGCTTTAGTCCTGTTTTAGTCCTGGTATAGTCCTGTTTTAGTAGTCCTGTTTTAGTCCTGCCTGCTTTTAGACCTGTTTTAGTCCTGCTTTAGTCCTGTTTTAGTCCTGGTATAGTCCTGTTTTAGTCCTGCTTTAGTCCTGTTTAGTCCTGTTTTAGTCCTGGTATAGTCCTGTTTTAGTCCTGTTTTAGTCCTGTTTTAGTCCTGGTATAGTCCTGTTTTAGTCCTGCTTTAGACCTGTTTTAGTCCTGGTATAGTCCTGCTTTAGTCCTGGTTTAGTCCTGGTTTAAGTCCTGGTTTAGTCCTGGTTTAGTTCTGGTATAGTCCTGCTTTAGTCCTGGTCTGACCCTGATCTGGTCTGGCCCGTGTTACATGTAGCCTATAGATTTAGTAATGTTTTATTCCTGTTTTAGTCCTGGTTTAGTCCCGCTCTGGCCCTGGTCTGGCCCTGGTCTGGCCCTGGTCTGGCTGGCCTGGTCTGGCCCTGGTCTGGTCTGGCCCTGGTCTGGCCCTGGTCTGGCCCTGGTCTGGCCCTGGTCTGGTCCGGCCCGGCCCGTGTAGCCTGTAGGTTTAGCCTGGCTGCTACTCGGCTCCGCTGTCGCTGCACCTGTCGCCTGCGGCCGGGGACAGTCCTGCTTTTATCCCGCTTCAGCCCCGCTTTAGTCCCGCCGTTTGTCCCCCCCCCTCCTCCCGCTTCATGACGCCGTTTGAGCCCCGGTGGTTCGGCCCCCGGAGCTGTGGATCCCCGCGGGGACAGATGTAGAGGACAGCCGCTCGGTGCGCCCTGTCCTCTGCGCTCGCTTATATAACCCCCGCCTCCCCCCGAGAAAAAAAAAAAAAAAAAAAAAAAAAAAAAACACCACCACCACCACCAGGCTGGATGGATGCTACCGGCGCACCGCGACACAGCAGGCCGGCCCACGGTGCACCGCGACCGGGCCCGACCGCCCCCAGAGCCCCGCGGATCAGCTCACCCAAAGCCGCTTGCTCCCTGCGCCGCAATAAACCAATTAGAAGAGCGGTTTACCTGATCACACCAAGCCGACGGTGCCGCAGCTAAATCCGCTACACATCCACCGAGCGGGCGCCCCCACCGCCGCCGCACATCGCCCGAGAAACGCTGCGGAAACACGGGCACGGAGAGCGGGGAAGGACGCGGGGCTCGGACACGGACGGAGCTCGGGGCCGGTCCTGGAGCGAGGACGTGGAGGAGGAGGAGGAGGCCGCGGCGCAGTGCTCCTCCGCCGGGCGTGTAGATCACCGAAGCCCGCTGCAGCTGCTGGTCCTGCGCCGGTGCGTCGCGGGGAAATGGCTGAGCCGAGTCTGGACGGGGAGGACGGGAACAGCGCTGCGCCACGGACACCGCCAGGGGGAGCCGCAGAGCCGCAGAGCCGCAGACATACAGAGCCACAGAGACACAGAACCTTCACAATAAAACACACGCGGTTCATTGATAGAAAACAGAAAGATCTAGAAATAAAGATCGAAGTGAAGACTGGCTTATTGGGTCAATATTTGGGTTTAGTTGTGTTATAATCCTAGTTTTATTTTAGTTTTGGTTTAGTCCTAGTTTAGTCTCGTTTTAGTCCTGGTTTAGACCTAGTTTACTTTTAGTTTAGTCCTGGTTTAGTCCTGGTTTAGACCTGGTTTAGTCCTGGTTTAGTCCTGGTTTAGACCTGGTTTAGTCCTGGTTTAGTCCTGGTTGGTTTAGACCTGGTTTAGTCCTGTTTTAGTCCTGGTTTAGTCCTGGTTTAGACCTGGTTTAGTCCTGGTTTAGATCTGGTTTAGACCTAGTTTAGTCCTGTTTTAGTCCTGGCTTAGTCCTGTTATAGTCCAGTGTTAGCCCCTAGTTTAGTCCTGGTTTAGATCTAGTTTAGTTTTGTTTTAGTCCTGCTTTAGTCCTGGTTTAGTTTTAGTTTAGTCCTGGTATAGACCTAGGTTAGTCCTGGTTTAATCCTGGTTTAGAACTGGTTTAGACCTAGTTTAGTCCTGTTTTAGTCCTGGCTTAGTCCTGTTATAGTCCAGTGTTAGCCCTAGTTTAGACCTAGTTTAGTCCAGGTTTAGATCTAGTTTAATTTTAGTTTAGTCTTGTTTTAGTCCTGGTTTAGTCTTGGTTTAGTCTTGTTTTAGTCCTGTTTTAGTTTTAGTTTAGTCTTTAGTTTTAGTCTGGTTTAGTTTAGTCCTGTTTAGTGTTAGTCCTGGTTTAGTCCTGTTTAGTCCTTTTAGTCCTGGTTTAGTTTTTAGTTCCTGGTTTAGTCTTGTTTTAGTCCTGGTTTAGTCTTGGTTTAGTCTTGGTTTAGTTTTGTTTTAGTCCTGGTTTAGACCTAGTTTAGACCTGGTTTAGACCTAGTTTAGTCCTGTTTTAGTCCTGGCTTAGTCCTGTTATAGTCCAGTGTTAGCCCTAGTTTAGTCCTGGTTTAGATCTAGTTTAGTCCTGGTTTAGATCTAGTTTAGTTTTGTTTTAGTCTTGTTTTAGTCCTGGTTTAGTTTTAGTTTAGTCTTGTTTTAGTCCTGGTTTAGTCTTGTTTTAATCCTGGTTTAGTCTTTGGTTCAGTTTTGTTTTAGTCCTGGTTTGGACCTAGTTTAGTTTTAGTTTAGTCTTGTTTTAGTCCTGGTTTAGTCTTGGTTTAGTCTTTGGTTCAGTTTTGTTTTAGTCCTGGTTTGGACCTAGTTTAGTTTTAGTTTAGTCTTGTTTTAGTCCTGGTTTAGTCTTGATTTAGTCTTTGGTTCAGTTTTGTTTTAGTCCTGGTTTGGACCTAGTTTAGTTTTAGTTTAGTCTTGTTTTAGTCCTGGTTTAGTCTTTGGTTCAGTTTTGTTTTAGTCCTGGTTGCCTGATGGCTGAGCCGAGTCTGGACGGGAACAGCGCTGCGCCACGGACACCGCCAGGGGGAGCCACAGAGCCGCAGAGCCGCAGACATACAGAGCCACAGAGACACAGAACCTTCACAATAAAACACACGCGGTTCATTCATAGAAAACAGAAAGATCTAGAAATAAAGAGATTGAAGATGACTGCGTTATTGGGTCAATATTTGGGTTTAGTCCTGGTTTAGTTTTGTTTTAATCCTTTTTTAGTCCTGTTTTAGACCTAGTTTTGTTTTGTTTTAGCCCTGGTTTGGTTCTAGTTTAACCCTGGTTCAGTTCTGGTTTAGTCTTGGTTTCGTTTAATTTTAGTTTTATTTTAGACCTAGTTTAGTCTTGTTTTAGTCCTGTTTTAGTCCAGGTTTAGTCCTGTTTTAGACCCAGTTTAGTCCTGTTTTAGTCCAGGTTTAGTCCTGTTTTAGACCCAGTTTAGTCCGTTTAGTGTTTTAGTCCCCTGTTTTAGTTTGTTTAGTTTAGTCCTGTTAGTTTTTAGTCCTGTTTTAGTCCATTTAATAATAATAATAATAATAATAATAATAATAATAATAATAATAATAGTTTTATAGTCCTGTTTATATAAAGTCAGAAATATAATAATCAGTAATAATAATATAATAATAATAATAATACTGTTTTACATTAGTTAAGTCATATAAAGTTTAAAACATAATAATAACATAATAATAATAATAATAATAATAATAATAATAATAATAATAATAATAATAATAATAACATAATATCAGTTGTCTCAGTCTCTTTTTGGACTCTCAGAGACGCTTTACAGAACATTATTCATTCACTCCAGACCTGGTGATGGACACTATTGTAGTCACAGCTGCCCTGGGGCAGACTGACGGAGGTGAGGCTGTCAATCTGCACCACTGACCCCTCCGACCACCACCAACACTCACACACACACCACTTTCATACTAGGCAATGAGGGTGAAGTGTCTTGCCTAAGGACACAATGACAGTTTTTACCACTGACGCCTCCTGTGGCTCCTGATTTTCCCAGTGTCTCCATCCAAGTCCAGACCAGACCAGACCAGACCAGACCTCTGAGCGTCTGAGATCTGATGGGATCAGGCTTTATAACAAGCTGGTATGGCCAGTCCTGGTTCAGTCCTGGTCCAGTCTTGGTTTAGTCCTGGTTCAGTCCTGGTCCAGTCTTGGTTTAGTCCTGGTTCAGTCCTGGTCCAGTCTTGGTTTAGTCCTGGTTCAGTCCTGGTCCAGTCTTGGTTTAGTCCTGGTTCAGTCTTGGTCCAGTCTTGGTTTAGTCCTGGTTCAGTCCTGGTTTTTAGTCTGGTTCAGTCTGGTCCAGTCTTGGTTTAGTCCTGGTTCAGTCCTGGTTCCAGTCTTGGTTTAGTCCTGGTTCAGTCCTGGTCCAGTCTTGGTTTAGTCCTGGTTCAGTCCTGGTCCAGTC